CAAGCTATGAAGGAAAAATACTGGACTTTTGCTGCAGGTACAGCCAAATAGTGCAAAAATAATATTGCGATATTGAAAAAATTATACGATACCATATATTATCAAAAATAATATTCCGATATGTAACTGTATCGATTTTTTCCCACCATCACTAATATACATACGTACATACACTACCGTTCAAAAGTTTGGGGTTACTTAGAAATGTCCTTGTTTTTGAAAGAAAAGCAAAAAATGTTGTCCATTAAAATATAAAATTGATCATAAATACAGTATAGACATTGTTAATGTTGTAAATGGCTATTGTAGCTGGAAACGGCTGATTTTTAATGGAATATCTACATAGGCGTTCAGAGGCCCATTATCAGCAACCATCAGTTCTGTGTTCCAATGGCACGTTGTGTTTGCTAATCCAAGTATCATTTTAAAAGGCTAATTGATCATTAGAAAACCCTTTTGCAATTATGTTAGCACAGCTGAAAACTGTTGTGCTGATTAAAAAAGCAATAAAACTGGCCTCCTTGAGACTACTTGAGTATCTGGAGCATCAGCAATTGTGGGTTCGATTATAGGCTCAAAATGTCAAGAAACAAATAACTTTCTTCTGAAACTCGTCAGTCTATTCTTGTTCTGAGAAATGAAGGCTATTCCATGTGAGAAATTGCCAAGAAACTGAAGATCTCGTACAACGCTGTGTACTACTCGCTTCACAGAACAGCGCAAACTGGCTCTAACCAGAATAAAAAGAGGAGTGGGTGGCCCCGGTGCACAACTGAGCAAGAGGACAAATACATTAGAGTGTCTAGTTTGAGAAACAGACGCCTCACAGGTCCTCAACTGGCAGCTTCATTAAATAGTACCCGCAAAACACCAGTCTCAACGTCAACAGTGAAGAGGCGACTCCGGGATGCTGACCTTCTAGGCAGAGTTGCAAAGAAAAAGCCATATCTCAGACTGGCCAATAAAAAGAAAAGATTAAGATGGGCAAAAGAACACAGACACTGGACAGAGGAAGATTGGAAAAAAGTGTTATGGACAGACAAATCGAAGTTTGAGGTGTTCGGATCACAAAGAAGAGCATTTGTGAGACGCAGACCAAATGAAAAGATGCTGGAGGAGTGCTTGATGCCATCTGTCAAGCATGGTGGAGGCAATGTGATGGTCTAGGGGGGCTTTGGTGGTGGTAAAGTGGGAGATTTGTACAGGGTAAAAGGGATCTTGAAGAAGGAAGGCTATGACATTTTGCAACCATGCCATACCTTATGGACGGTGCTTGATTGGAGCCAATTTCCTCCTACAACAGGTCAATGACCCAAAGCACAGCTCCAAACTATGCAAGAACTATTTAGGGAAGAAGCAGTCAGCTGGTATTCTATCTATAATGGAGTGGCCAGCACAGTCACCGGATCTCAACCCTATTGAGCTGTTGTTGGAGCAGCTTGACCGTATGGTACGTAAGAAGTGCCCATCAAGCCAATCCAACTTGTGGGAGGTGCTTCAGGAAGCGTGGGGTGAAATCTCTTCAGATTACCTCAACAAATTGACAACTAAAATGCAAAAGATCTGCAAGGCTGTAATTGCTGCAAATGGAGGATTCTTTGACGAAAGCAAAGTTTGAAGGACAATTATTATTTCTATTAAAAATCATTATTTCTAACCTTGTCAATGACTACATTTCCTATGCATTTTGCTATATTTCCTATTCAAACTCATTTCATGTATGCTTTCATGGAAAACAAGGACATTTCTAAGTGACCCCAAACTTTTGAACGGTAGTGATATATATATATATATATACACATATACACACACACACAGTACCAGTCAAAAGTTTGGACACACCTACTCATTCAAGGGTTTTTCTTATTTTTTTAACTATTTTCTACATTGTAGAATAATAGTGAAGACATCAACACTATGAAATAATACATATGGAATCATTTAGTAACCAAAAAAGTGTTACATCAAAATATATATAATATTTGAGATTCTTCAAATAGCCACCCTTTGCCTTGATAACAGCTTTGCATTCTCTCAACCAGCTTCATGAGGTAGTCACCTGGAATGCATTTCAATTAACAGGTGTGCCTTTTTAAAAGTTAATTTGTGGAATTTCTTTCCTTCTTAAAGCGTTTGAGCCAATCAGTTGTGTTGTGACAAGGTAGGGGTGGTATACAAAATATTTCTTTAACACTTTTTTGGTTACTACATGATTCCATGTGTTATTTCATAGTTTTGATGTCTTCACTATTATCCTACAATGTAGAAAATAGTAAAAATTAAGAAAAACCCTTGAATGAGTAGGTGTGTCCAAACTTTTGACTGGTACTGTGTGTGTGTGTATATATATATATATATATATATATATATATATATATATATATATATATATATATATATATATATATATATATATTTGCCTGTTTTGCATGTTATTTTGACATTAATACGTGTCACATATCAGTTTGCAAACAATGAAAAAATATATATAATTTAGTTAAGAAAGCCGCATACAGACATGGTCTCGTTTTTGCTTCCTTGAGTAAGGCAGCTCCAAAATGCAGATGTTTCAGCCTAACTCAGTGCTTTCTGTGGTGGTGGGAGAGCCAGCGGGAAATACAGAGCGTAGGGGTTGGTAATGTTCTCTAGTTGCGCCGTGATTGGCTCAGTGTTCTGTCACTTTTTAGGACACTACATCGCCACAAAATCTACGGGTAGAGCTCGAAAATTCAAGCCCCTTGGGTGCTGCCATAGACTTACATTAGAAGTGCCCATCCAAGAAGGCTCAAGGTCATTGGCCACAGATAAAATGACGTCAAATCACGTTATATCTATCGTAGCTTTGATTGGACTGAACATGTCAACATCATACTTTCAAAATGTTAGCTAGCAAGCTAGAAAGCAGTCATCATCATGAATCAAGTCGACAATCTACTGGCAAATCCTTTTCAATCTTTGTCATATGAAGATAAATTATAGTTAAAACGTATCGGTGCTCATCGGCCATTGGACATAAACATTACACAACAAGTTGGAAATCGCAAAATCAACAATGAGTGGTTTGGAAGGAATCAGTGGCTAACTGCACGCTTTGCAAAGCAATAATTAGCCTGCTATTCTGTGGAGAGGGTTTCTGGTCCAAGTCTAGGTTTAAGGGATTATTTTCCAAGCTTAAAAGGATAAACATTAACTCGCCACACACCATGGGCCAGAAAAGGTTGAATACATTGGCAATGCTGTCAATCCAACATGACTTCTGCCACGTTCAAAACAACTGGAAACTCGGAAATCTCAGACTTCAATGAATTCAAATCAAACGTTATTTGCCACATGCACCGAATACAACAGGTGTAGACCTTACAGTGAAATGCTTACTTACAAGTCCTTAACCAACAATGCAGTTTTAAGAAGAAAAAGTAAAAAATAGATAAGTAAAAAAAATAAAAATATTAAAGAGCAGCAGTAAAATAAAATAACAATAGGGAGGGTATCGGTACAGGGGGTACCGGTACAGAGTCAATGTGGGAACAACTGGGAACTCTGGAAAAAAAACTAGCTCTGGTCATCCAACTCGGAATTCCAAGTCGGGAACTCGGGCCTCTTTCTAGAGCTCCGACCTGAAGATCACTGACGTCATAATTCAACCTTGTTTTTTTTCCAGAGTTCCCAGTTGTCTTGAAAGCACTATAAATCCAGGGAATGCCAGACTTTGATGACAAAATTTGTCCACAAGAAGGACCGCCGCGCCACCTTCAGGTTCAAGTGAGCACAGCACAACAAGGTGAGTCCAAAATTGTTGTGTGCTGCTGCATAAGTTATATAATATGCCAGGGAGATATTTACTGTAGCTAAGAAAGTAATACTAAGTGTATGTTGTGTAGTAAGCCCATGTGCCTCACCCTAATAATTTGGTACCGTTCCCCCTCATAACTTAGCCTACTGTTCTGACTTAGTGGTGCACATGTAGCCTCTAGCCTGTTTTAGAGAAATGTAATCATTGAATATTGTAAGAGCTTTCATTGTCTGCTTTTATGCCCCCTTTATTTATCCTACGGTTCTGACTTTGTGTACAGGGAGAATACTGTAAGAACGGCCCATGTTCTGAATTCTGTCGCTGTACATTTCAAAAGGGCTGAACAAATAGTTACATTGACTACGTCCGTCCTAGCTCGCTTAATCGGAATTACGTATTGCTCGTCGTTCCCTTAGTAGTTTGTACATCTCAACTGTCAGTAGAAACCACATTTGTATAAGCAAGTCAATTTTTTAAGAAGGCAGTAAATGACGCTGAATGAACTGTTTCACTGCCGGACAAGGCTCCGCTGATAGCCAGGTGTAGCGGTGGTAAGGATTCACTCCATGGTGCTGAAAAGAAAGCTCTGCTGTTGGGACAGCTTTATGTAGGCCCTAACAGTTTGTGGGCACCGTTTGTCACCGTTATAGTGCAATTAATGTATTGTTTACTGTTGTGTAGTGGCTTTGCTGGCATGCATCTAAAATAATTGTTTGGGTTTGCCCCACCAAGATTTACATGCTAAAAATCGACACTGGTTATATATAACCTCCCGAGTGGCGCAGTGGTCTAAGGCACTGCATCGCCACTAGAGATCCTGGTTCGAATCCAGGCTCTGTCGTAGCCGGCTGCGACCGGGAGACCCATGGGGCGGCGCACAATTGGCCCAGCGTCGTCCAGGGTAGGGGAGGGAATGGCCGGCAGGGATGTAGCTCAGTTGGTAGAGCATGGCGTTTGCAACGCCAGGGTTGTGGGTTCGATTCCCATGGGGGGCCAGTATGAAAAAATATATATAATGTATGCACTCACTAACTGTAAGTCGCTCTGGTTAAGAGCGTCTGTTAAATGACTAAAACGTAATGTAAATGTAATATGTGTGTGTCTGTCGTTCTGTGCATGTGTCTGTGCGTGCATGTGTGTCTCTCACCTCCAGAGTGGTCAGCACAATCTTCTCCACAGAGGAGAAGTAGGCCTCCCAAAGGAACTGGGTCTGCTGCCTCAGAGCTAGGATCTTATCCTGATGGATGGAGCGCACCGTGGACGGGATCTGGATGTGAGGAAGGGGGACACGGTTAGAGAGAATGGAGAGAGGATGATGGCAGGGAGAGGATGGAGGGATGAGGGCGTGGAGAGGGGGGGTGTAGCGATGAGTGAGGGGGGGACAACGTACCATGGTCAGTCAGCGAGAGGGGGTCGAGGAAGGGAGGGAGGGGGGAAACATGGAGGGACTAACTGAACTTGTCCAATAACAAATGCCTGTTTTCATGTTCGCTACGGTGTGCCTTTAATGGACCCAGTGAGTGGACTCTCTTACCAATCAATGACAGTCATCAATCAGTTAATCAGGGAGAACCAATAGCAGTACAGGAGGATGTAAGGGGTTGATGTGTTGTGTGTGTGTCGTACCTGCAGCAGGAGCCTCTCGTCCCCGATGACGGCCGCCGTGTTCCAGTTGATGATCTCAGAGAAGGGCAGCTCCCAGCCGTTACTCAGCATCACAGGCACACAGGCTGCCTAAAGACAGATATATACAAGACAGGAATTGTAAAAGTATTCTTCTCTCTCATTCACACACACACCGTCTCCTCTCTAGAAGAGTGGACAGCCAGACTCAGTGGTGTGAGTCACAGTGAACGCGTAGGAGAGAGGAGAGGGAGAGACAAGTGTATACTTTCTGTGGAGAAGTGTGCACTAATATTAGAGGTGATGACGGAGCACTTCAGAGCGTGGAAGTAGATAGAGTTTGAGGTGGGAGTAAGTGCACTCTCAGTGAGGAAGTGTGCGATAAAGTGTGCGACAGGTGAGAGGTAAAGGTTACGCAGTGTGCAGCGGTTGGATGGAATCTGACAAGTGGATACGCTGTAGGGTTGGAGTGAAGGGCAAAAGTGTGCAGCAGTTGAGTGGTATATGGAAAGTGTATATGGAGTGGGAGTAAGTGTGCTTAAAAGTGTGTGGTAAGCATGTGGTATAGAAGAGGTTATGAGTGTGTGTGTTCTGTGGTTGGACAATACTTGGTGGAGACGTATGGAGTAGGAGTAAGTGTGCACTTACAAGTGTGGTAATGAAGTGTGTATATAAGAGAGTGTAAGGGTTATGTGATACTTGGGAGGAGATAAAATAGAGTGGGTGGGAGGGAGTAAAAATGCACTTCCAGTGTAAAAAATAGTGAAGTTGCAATATAAGTAGTTTCACTGTGTGAGAATCACAGTGTGGGAGTATAAATCATGCAGCAGTGGTGATGGGGGGGGAAAAATATTGCAATATTATTTGAATACTTTGACTCCAAGTTTTGGAGTCAGGTAGCGTTAGATGGCGCAAGTCAGCTGTACCGGTGCCAAAGTCCTGTATTTTTCATCCTATAGCTTGTTGTCAATCGTTTTATTTTTAAATAGTGAGAAAACATGTTTTCAGCACTTATTTCCATGACTGATCAAAACTCATTTTATCACGCTCTTTTGTCTCTTGGCAGCAGACATATACAGTGAGGGAAAAAAGTATTTGATCCCCTGCTGATTTTGTACGTTTGCCCACTGACAAAGAAATGATCAGTCTATAATTTTAATGGTAGGTTTATTTGAACAGTGAGAGACAGAATGACAACAAAAAAATCCAGAAAAACGCATTTAAAAAATGTTATAAATTGATTTGCATTTTAATGAGGGAAATAAGTATTTGACCCCTCTGCAAAACATGACTTAGTACTTGGTGGCAAAACCCTTGTTAGCAATCACAGAGATCAGATGTTTCTTGTAGTTGGCCACCAGGTTTGCACACATCTCAGGAGGGATTTTGTCCCACTCCTCTTTGCAGATCTTCTCCAAGTCATTAAGGTTTCGAGGCTGACGTTTGGCAACTCGAACCTTCAGCTCCCTCCACAGATTTTCTATGGGATTAAGGTCTGGAGACTGGCTAGGCCACTCCAGGACCTTAATGTGCTTCTTCTTGAGCCACTCCTTTGTTGCCTTGGCCGTGTGTTTTGGGTCATTGTCATGCTGGAATACCCATCCACGACCCATTTTCAATGCCCTGGCTGAGGGAAGGAGGTTCTCACCCAAGATTTGATGGTACATGGCCCCGTCCATCGTCCCTTTGATGCGGTGAAGTTGTCCTGTCCCCTTAGCAGAAAAACACCCCCAAAGCATAATGTTTCCACCTCCATGTTTGACGGTGGGGATGGTGTTCTTGGGGTCATAGGCAGCCTTCCTCCTCCTCCAAACACGGCGAGTTGAGTTGACGCCAAAGAGCTCCATTTTGGTCTTATCTGACCACAATACTTTCACCCAGTTCTCCTCTGAATCATTCAGATGTTCATTGGCAAACTTCAGACGGGCATGTATATGTGCTTTCTTGAGCAGGGGGACCTTGTGGGCGCTGCAGGATTTCAGTCCTTCACGGCGTAGTGTGTTACCAATTGTTTTCTTGGTGACTATGGTCCCAGCTGCCTTGAGATCATTGACAATATCCTCCCGTGTAGTTCTGGGCTGATTCCTCACCGTTCTCATGATCATTGCAACTCCACGAGGTGAGATCTTGAATGGAGCCCCAGGCCGAGGGAGATTGACAGTTATTTTGTGTTTCTTCCACTTGCGAATAATCGCACCAACTGTTGTCACCTTCTCACCAAGCTGCTTGGCGATGGTCTTGTAGCCCATTCCAGCATTGTGTAGGTCTACAATCTTGTCCCTGACATCTTTGGAGAGCTCTTTGGTCTTGGCCATGGTGGAGTTTGGAATCTGATTGATTGATTGCTTGCTTCTGTGGACAGGTGTCTTTTATACAGGTAACAAGCTGAGATTAGGAGCACTCCCTTTAAGAGTGTGCTCCTAATCTCAGCTCGTTACCTGTATAAAAGACACCTGGGAGCCAGAAATCTTTCTGATTGAGAGGGGGTCACTTTTTCCCTCACTGTAGAGAGCAATATGTTTGGAACATCAAATGGCAATAAAATCACAGTATCGAATCGCAATACATATAGAATCATGAGAATCGCAATTCCCAGCCCTACAGCACAGGTGTTGGGATATAAAGGTGTGTGTGTGTGTGTCGAAGCCCACTGAACTGCAGCGCCTCCAGGAATCGTGTGTGTGTGTGTGTGTGTGTGTGTATGTGTACGGGCCCACTCACTTGCAGTGCCTCTAGGAAGCGAAAGGATCCCAGGCGTCTGCCCCGAGGCACCAGGCAGAAAGTGGAGTTGTGCAGCATCTCTCTGTAGTCATATCTGTGGAGCAACACACACACAAACATGGTCAGTACACCACATACGGTCAGTACATGTCACACACACAAACATGGTCAGTACGTCACACACGGTCAGTACATGTCTCACACACACAAAGTAGAGGCTGTCAGGTTTCTCTCCTATAGTCAGTCATACACCCTCAGGACCAAACGTACAGTGCCTTCAGAAAGTATTCATACCCCTTGACTTGACTATAAGTGCTTTCCACACCTGGATTGGGCAACATTTGTCCATTGTTCTTTTAAAAAGTATTAAAGCTCTGTCAAAATGGTTGCTAGACAACCATTTTCAGGTCTTGCCATAGACTTTGAAGTAGATTTAAGTCAAAACTATAACTCGGCCACTCAGGAACATTCACCAACTTCTTGGTTAGCAACTCCAGTGTAGATTTGGCCTTGTGTTTTAGGTTATTGTCCTGCTGAAAGGTGAAATAATCTCCCAGTGTCTGGTGGAAAGCAGACTGATCCAGGTTTTCCTCTAGGATTTTCCCTGTGCTTAGCTCCATTCCTTTTAATATTTATCCTGAAAAACTCCCTAGTCCTTAACGATTACAAGTATACCCATAACATGATGCAGCCACCACTATGCTTGAAAATATGTAGAGTGGTACTCAATAATGTGTTGGATTTGCCCCAAACATAATACTTTGTATTTAGGACAAAAAGTTAATCGCTTTGCCAATTTTTTTGCAGTATTACTTTAGTGCCTTGTTGCAAACAGGATGCATGTTTTGGAATGTTTTATTCTGTACAGGCTTCCTTCTTTTCACTCTGTCATTTAGTTTAGCATTGTGGAGTAACTACAATGTTGTTGATTCATCCTTAGTTTTCTCCTATCACAGCCATTAAACTAACTGTTTTAAAGCCACCATTGGCCTTATGTTGAAATCCCTGAGCAGTTTCCTTCTCTGGCAACTGAGTTAGGAAGGACGCCTGTATCTTTGTAGTGACTGGATGTATTGATACACCATCCAAAGTGTAATTAATAACTTCAGCATGCTCAAAGGGATATTCAATGTCAGATTTCTATATTTCTACCCATCTACCAATAGATGCCCTTCTTTGTGAGGCATTGGAAACCCTCCCTGGTCTGTGTTTGAATCTGTGTTTGAAATTCACTGCTCGACTGAGGGACCTTACAGATAATTGTATGTGTGAGGTACAGAGATGAGGTAGCCATTCAAAAATAATTGTTAAACACTTATTGCACACAGAGCGAGTCCATGCAACTTATGTGACTTGCTAAGAAAATGTTTACTCCTGAACTTATTTAGGCTTGCCTTAACAAAGGGGTTGAATACTTGTAATTTTGTATTAATTTGTACAAATTTTGAAAAACATAATTCCACTTTGACATGATTGGGTGTTGTGTGTAGGCCAGTGACAAAAAAAGCTCAATTTAATCCATTTTAACACAACAAAATGTGGAAAAAGTAAAGGGGTGTGAATATTTTGTATTCACAGTACTAGCTAAGCTCACCTTACTGAATAGAATACACTCACACTCGCATAACAGATCACACACCCCAGTATACAGTAAGTCCCTCAGCTCCATCCTGTAACATCAATCATATACAGGTACGGACAGAGGACAGAAATCTCTCAATTTCTCCATCACAAAACACACATTTTCCTAGGGATTCTCACTGCAGTGCAATTCCTCATCTCCCTCTTGCTCCCTCCATCCCACTCCTCTATCTCCTCTCTCCTTCCCTCTAAATCTCCAGTGAGGTGTGCCTTATTGCTATTCAAACAGAATGATCAACCCTGCCAGGGGTAATGAGCTGAGTGACACCTGCTACCAAGATGCAAGCTGCTGCTTAATCAGCCACGAGGGGGGGGGGGGGGGGGGGGGGGGGGTGTACACACTAGAGGTCTGTGTGTGTGTGTGTGTGTGCGCTCCAGAGAGCAGGAGCAGTGTGTACACACCCGAGTGAATTCACACACTCAGGGTGGCAGAGAGAGTAGGTACACAGACAGCCATTTATAATAATAATAATAATATGCCATTTAGCACTGGGGCTTTAACCTCTACTAGGCCCAGGAGAAAGACTTTCTGCCCATCTTTCTCGTTCTCCTCTCCTGTCATTGGGAGAGTCTCAATTGCATTTCCTTGATTCCTCTTCTCTACTCGCCTCCTTCTCAAAACCAATTTGATGAGAAGGTCAGAGGTCCCTCCACTCTGGCCTTCTCATCCAATTGGTTTTGAGAAAGAGGTGGGGAGAGGATGTGTGGGATCAAGGAAATGCATTCGAGATTCTCCCATTGCCTTCCTGTTCAATTCTCTTAAATCACATTTATAAAGCCCTTTTCACATCATCAGTTGTCACAAAGTGCTTTTCAAATCTCCTCTATTCACTTTCTCACTTTTCTCTCCCTCATGCACTACCCTCCCACTTACCCTCCTTACTCACTCTCCCCTTACCTCTCTCCCTCCCATTATAGCCACTACTGCAGAACTTGCAAGGGAGTGTGAGCGGGCTAAAGACAAGTCCTTCAGGTTATGAGGTTAAAAGAGTGGAGAGGCAGAAAATCATTTCTCATTTAGCACGGTCTATATGGGGTGAAGGTGAAAGGACACAGTCCTTCTCTCTATCCCCCGCTCTCTCTCACCCCATTCATAATGCCATGAGTGTGGAAACACCCAGTATGCAGTGGGATGATGGCCATTTACTGACACTAACGGAAGTGTGTGTGTGTGTGTGTGTGTGTGTGTGTCTGTCTGTGCGTACTCACACCACACATAGGCTCACCTAAGATGCAGAGGGACACATCTACTGCTAGGATTCAAAGCACATACAAACAGGCACACACATTTACTCTCGCCAACACACACACACAAGGCAAGAACTAATAATGGCCAGCGCACCGCACTAGTCAGTGCTGAAAGTCACATGTATAAAACATAGTCAGCCCATAACATGCATTACACAGACACACCTCGGTGGCCAGGAGCGGAGTAGCGGACGACAGCTGCACACCCAAGCATTGACATTCTATCACCTGCCGATGGAGACAGAGATGGGGCACACACATATTTCTGCACCAGCTGTCTCCCTGTACAGTGCTGCCTCCCTCCCGCCCCTCCCTGCCTTAATGCCATAAAATATCAATTTGACAAACTCTGACCTAAAAAGCTGTAGCGTCTCCCTCCCGAGCACATCTGTTTTTTGAGTTAAAGTTAAAGATAAGATGTGCCCTTGGCATTAGGATATCAGTGCCTGCTCAGAGAAAGCATTTGTAAGCAAAGCCTCAGTAGAGTAAGGACGTACTGCGCCATCTGATATGATAGCCTGGTCAGTTTAGATATGATAGTCTGGTCCCGTGTAGCTCAGTTGGTAGAGCATGGCGTTTGCAACGCCAGGGTTGTGGGTTCGTTTCCCACGGGGGACCAGTATGATTTTTTTTTATTATGCACTCACTAACTGTAAGTCGCTCTGGATAAGAGCGTCTGCTAAATGACTAAAATGTAAATGGTCAGTAGACTAACACAGCAAATGTTTGGTTTAGTTCATTTGGAGTGATGGATCTCTAAAAAGTCCACGTATGTAGTTAAAGTGAAGGATTAAATTGAATTTTTAGCTGGAGAAAACTCCAACACGGTTGCTGAGGTGAAGGATTCAATAGAAGCCTTAGTGGGGAGGAAACGCCATCTGTAGCTCATTTATGAGCTGAAATGGCACACTTGCTAGGGTGAAAACTGTGATTGGAGCCTTAGCTGGAGGAATTGTTGCATTTCCATTGTTGTTGTCGTTGCACTTGCATTCAGTTGCATCTATGAATCACGTTATTATTATGAATAGTATTGACGTCAAACGGGAGAACCAAGGACACAGGTGATTCCTAATGTTGTGAGATTCTCGCTAGTGTTTACAGAACAATTGGTTCTTAGAGATTAGGAGCAGGACCTGCAATTGTAACAGTAAGCAACTAACAAAATGGATGACTGCAGTGTAGCCATTATGAGTACATGATGTATGGATTGCTAAGGCATAAGAATATGAAAGTGTGTATTCTTATTTTACATTTATGTAGTTCTGTACCTGTCTATCAATGTTATGTATGATTTGATTTGATGTAGTTCTGTCCTTCAGCTGTAATTGTCTAATAATGTTACTGAGTGGCTACGGATACAGAGTTTTGTATCCCAATTTGCCCAGGGTAGAAATACAGATATTTCTGCGCATGTGCAGAGTTCCCACGTAGCCGAATTCCCATTCCGCTGCCTACGTAGCTGCAATGCTGAGTGCTCCGCTGCTGCTCCCCACTCCTTAAGCGCCTTGGTCTGTTTTTTTACACAAAATACATTATCAACATGTACATTCAAACTTTGCTGTCAGTATTGCAAACATAAGCGTGACACAAACAGGCAGTCTGGCAATTTCATATTTTTCTTAGCTGCTGAGTTACATGCAGCTATTTAGTCTTGCCACGATATCAGCATATACAGTGCATTCGTTAAGTATTCAGACCCATTGACTTTTTCCACATTTTGTTACGTTACAGCCTTAATCTAAAATTGATTAAATAAATAAAAATCCTCAATCTACACACAATACCCCATAATGACAACGCGAAAACATGTTTTAAGAGGTTTTTGCAAAACAGAAATAACTTATTTTCAGACCCTTTGCTATGAGACTCAAAATTGAGCTCAGGTGCATCCTGTTTCCATTGATCATCCTTGAGAAGTTTCTATAACTTGATTGGAGTCCACCTGTGGTAAATTCAATTGATTGGACATGATTTGGAAAGGCACACGCACCTGTCTATATAAGGTCCCACAGTTGACAGTGCAAAAACCAAGCCATGAGGTCGAAGGAAATGTCTGTAGCGCTCCAAGACAGGATTGTGTCAAGGCACAGATCTGGGGAAGGGTACCAAAACATTTCAGCAGCATTGAAGGTCCCCAAGAACACAGTGGCCTCAATCATTCTTAAATGGAAGACATTTGGAACCACCAAGACTCTTCCTAGAGCTGGCCGCCTGGCTTACTGAGCAATCAGGGGAGAAGGGCCTTGGTCAGGGAGGTGACCTAGAACACGATGCTCACTCTGACAGAGCTCCAGAGTACCTCTATGGAGATGGGAGAACCTTCCAGAAGGACAACCATCTCTGCAGCACTCCACCAATCAGGCCTTTACGGTACAGTGGCCAGACGGAAGCCACTCCTCAGTAAAAGGCACATGACAGCCCGCTTTGAGTTTGCCAAAAGGTACCTAAAGGACTTTCAGACCATGCAAAACAAGATTCTCTGGTCTGATGAAACCAAGATTGAACTTTTTGGCCTGCATGCCAAGCGTCACGTCTGGAAGAAACCTGGCACCATCCCTACGGTGAAACATGGTGGTGGTGGCAGCATCATCCTGTGGGGATGTTTTTCTGCGGCAGGGACTGGGAGACTAGTCCGGATCGAGGGAAAGATGAACGGAGCAAAGTACAGAGAGATCCTTGATGAAAACCTGCTCCAGAGCACTCAGGACCTCAGACTGGGGCGAAGGTTCACCTTCCAACAGGACAATGACCCTAAGCACACAGTCAAGACAACGCAGGAGTGGCTTCGGGACAAGTCTCTGAATGTCCTTGAGTGGCCCAGCCAGAGCCCGGACTTGAACCCGATCGAACATCTCTGGAGAGACCGGAAAATAGCTGTGCAGCGACGCTCCCCATCCAACCGGACAGAGCTTGAGAGGATATGCAGAGAAGAATAGGAGAAACTCCTCAAATACAGGTGTGCCAAGCTTGTAGCGTCATACTCAAGAGGGTCTGAATACTTATGTAAATAAGGTACTTCTATTTTTGTATTTAATTTTTATTTGCAACAATTTCTAAAAACCATTTTTCGCTTTCTCATTATGGGGTATTGTGTGTAGATAGCTGAGGACTTTTTATTATTTATTTAATCGATTTTAGAATAAGGCTGTAACGTAACAAAATGTGGAAAAAGTCATAGGGTCTGAATACTTTCCGAAGGCACTGTATATAAAATTATATTGGTTGCAAGAATTGTATATAATAACTTAAAATTGAAAAATTCTAAGTTTTGAATCCAGTGTCGTTTTGTGTATCAGTTCATGTGCCATGGAATCGATATATCAAAAATCTCTTCCCAACTGTTTTGCAATCTATATAGCACAGCTGTAAATTTTTTGGTCCTTAAATGAAACTGGTAGACTTTTTTTATTGATCACAATTTTCTTTAGCCAATTTTGGTCTTTAATGCAGGGCCGACAGACAAGTTCCTCACTTTCTCCCCCTTCCACTTGCCTCTTCCATTTTTGCAGTAATGCTGAAATTATTTTCCATACATTTTTGTTAGCTGCACGTGTGACATAACTCCACCAGTCCTATTTATTATATATACAGTGGGGGAAAAAAGTATTTAGTCAGCCAACAATTGAGCAAGTTCTCCCACTTAAAAAGATGAGAGAGGCCTGTAATTTTCATCATAGGTACAAGTCAACTATGACAGACACATTTTTTATGAATTTATTTGCAAATTATGGTGGAAAATAAGTATTTGGTCACCTACAAACAAGCAAGATTTCTGGCTCTCACAGACCTGTAACTTCTTCTTTAAGAGGCTCCTCTGTCCTCCACTCGTTACCTGTATTAATGGCACCTGTTTGAACTTATCAGTATAAAAGACACCTGTCCACAACCTCAAACAGTCACACTCCAAACTCCACTATGGCCAAGACCAAAGAGCTGTCGAAGGACACCAGAAACAAAATTGTAGACCTGCACCAGGCTGGGAAGACTGAATCTGCAATAGGTAAGCAGCTTGGTTTGAAGAAATCAACTGTGGGAGCAATTATTAGGAAATGGAAGACATACAAGACCACTGATAATCACCCTCGATCTGGGGTACCACACAAGATCTCACCCCGTGGGGTCAAAATGATCACAAGAACGGTGAGCAAAAATCCCAGAACCACACGGGAGGACCTAGTGAATGACCTGCAGAGTGCTGGGACCAAAGTAACAAAGCCTACCATCAGTAACACACTACGCCGCCAGGGACTCAATGATACCAAAATATAACTTTTTGGTAAAAACTCAACTCGTCGTGTTTGGAGGACAAAGAATGCTGAGTTGCATCCAAAGAACACCATACCTACTGTGAAGCATGGGGGTGGAAACATCATGCTTTGGGGCTGTTTTTCTGCAAAGGGACCAGGACGACTGATCCGTGTAAAGGAAAGAATGAATGGGGCCATGTATCGTGAGATTTTGAGTGAAAACCTCCTTCCATCAGCAAGGGCATTGAAGATGAAATGTGGCTGGGTCTTTCAGCATGACAATGATCCCAAACACACCGCCCGGGCAACGAAGGAATGGCTTCGTAAGAAGCATTTCAAGGTCCTGGAGTGGCCTAGCCAGTCTCCAGATCTCATCCCCATAGAAAATCTTTGGAGGGAGTTGAAAGTCCGTGTTGCCCAGCGACAGCCCTAAAACATCACTGCTCTAGAGGAGATCTGCATGGAGGAATGGGCCAAAATACCAGCAACAGTGTGTGAAAACCTTGTGAAGACTTACAGAAAACGTTTGACCTGTGTCATTGCCAACAAAGGGTATATAACAAAGTATTGAGAAACTTTTGTTATTGACCAAATACTTATTTTCCACCATAATTTGCAAATAAATTCATAAAAAATCCTACAATGTGATTTTCTGGATATTTTTTTCTCATTTTGTCTGTCATAGTTGACGTGTACCTATAATGAAAATTACAGGCCTCTCTCATCTTTTTAAGTGGGAGAACTTGCACAATTGGTGGCTGACTAAATACTTTTTTCCCCACTTTTTTTTGTATCAATTAGTATTTGAGTTTAACCATAATATTTGTTGTAATATTTATTCTGTATTTTCTGGTAGATTAAACTGAAATTGCAACCACTTTATTGGCTTGTATTAAAAATAGCGATATTTTGGAGATAATTTCATTTTCAAATAACCAAAAGTCAGAGGTTGTAATCTGAATAAAGGGAAAAGGCCATTCTTGAACACAGGTGAGACATTCTTACTAATCTACTAGAGAACCATTTAAGTATAACTTTTGTATGACTGAAGCCTTTAGTGAGAGGTCTAATGTTTTAATATTTAATAATTTCTGCCCTCCGAATTCATATTCATTACATAAATAGGCCCGTTTAATTTTGTCTGTCTTGCCGTTCCAAATAAAATGGAATCGTTTTTTGCTCATATCATTTACAAAAACAAGTCGCTAGGTGTAGGCAAGGCCATAAGCAAATAGGTAAACTGGGATATGACTAAAGAGTTAATCAGGGTGACTTTTCCACAAATAGACAGGTATATTCCTTTCCATGGTAGCACGATCTTATTATTTATTATTGTGGAGGGATCCAAATTGTGGATTTAAAATAAAACATGGATCATCAGTGTACAATGAACCCTTTGTTTTTAAGCCCTGGATTTCTAGGCCCTTGATATTATTGTTGGATCTGATTTTAATAGCTAACATTTCAATGGCCATAATAAATAGATATGCCGATAGTGGAAAACCTTGTTAACTCTGACAGTTTAAAACTTTCTGAGAAGTAGCCATTATTTACTATTTTACACCTAGGGTTACTATACATAACTTTAACCCATTGTATAAGAGATTCCCCAAAATTGAAATATTCCAGGCATTTACAGTGGCTTGCGAAAGTATTCACCCCCCCCTTGGCATTTTTCCTATTTTGTTGCCTTACAACCTGGAATTAAAATTGATTTTTTGGGGGGTTTATATCATTTTATTTACACAACATGCCTACCACTTTGAAGATGAAAAATATTTTTTCTTGTGAAACAAACAAGACAAAATAACAGAAAACTTGAGCGTGCATAAGTATTCACACCCCCAATTGGATTGAGGTCTGGGCTTTGACTAGGCCATTCCAAGACATTTAAATGTTTCCCCTTAAACCACTCAAGTGTTGCTTTAGCACTATGCTTAGGGTCATTGTCCTGCTGGAAGGTGAACCTCCGTTCCAGTCTCAAATCTCTGGAAGACAAACAGGTTTCCCTCAAGAATTTCCCTGTATTTAGCGTCATCCATCATTCCTTCAATTCTGACCAGTTTCCCAGTCCCTGCCGATGAAAAACATCCCCACAGCATGATGCTGCCATCACCATGCTTCACTGTGGGGATGGTGTTCTTGGGGTGATGAGAGGTGTTGGGTTTGCGCAAGACATAGCGTTTTCCTTGATGGCCAAAAAGCTCAATTTTAGTCTCATCTGACCAGAGTACCTTCTTCCATATGTTTGGGGAGTCTCCCACATGCCTTTTTGAGAACACCAAACGTGTTTGCTTATTCTTTTCTTTAAGCAATGGCTTTTTTATGGCCACTCTTCCGTAAAGCCCAGATCTGCTGTACCTACATTATGTAGGTTATAAATTATTCTGTCCTGGTTAAAAACAAGTTGTCATCCAATAGGCTTTGATTAAATTTGCAATATCCTCGCCCGCGTGGAAATTTTGTAAGATTAATGTTTATGCCAATTATTTGATGGTCCGACTGCATTCTGTCACCTATCAATACTTTTTAAACTGTTGGTAGAGTGAGAGCCCAACGAACAGGAAATACGGACATCTTATATAGTGGACCTAAAAATGCTTAGTCATGGTTGGTTCCGTCCCTCCCATGTCCTTGACTACACGCCCAGACCAGCTGCAGGGAGCTAGAGGGAACCATCCTTATGAAAAGCACAGCATTGGTAGTTAAGAAATGTCTCTACTATTGTTAAGCATATTAATTGTTAACTATAAATATTAAACAAATCAGGTAAATACGTGATCTTTCTCTCAAAAGCCTCCGCCATGTATATCTCATTAGGTCAGGATATTTAATCCTCCATATATTCACTAGTTCCAATATATCCATTATATTCGTGATTTCCTTAAGTGCATAAGGGTGATAGTTTGTAGTGTGATTTTTTCACGGTCCATTGCGGTATTTAAAACCATATTATAATCTCCCACCATAATAGAGTTTTGTATTGCTTGTAGTCTTGATAAATTATTATATATATTTTCAAAGAAGTGTGGATCATCATTATTTGGACCGAATAGATTAATGAGCCAAATCTGTTTATAGTCCAATAACATATTTAAAATAATCCATCTACCTTGTGTATCTGTTTGAACAATTTGCACATCAAATCAAATTTTATTTGTCACATGCGCCAAATACAACAGGTGTAGACCTTACCGTGGAATGCTTACTTACAAGCCCTTAACCAACAATGCAGTTTTAATAAAATGAGTTACGAAAATGTTTTTAAAAAAGTAACACAATAAAATAACAATAACAAGGCTATATACAGGGGGTACCGGTACCGAGTCAATGTGCGGGGGTACAGGTTAGTTCAATGCTATTTATTATAATATTTGTTTGTAAATGTACCTTCATGTTATGTGTAATGTCATGTTTTATGTTTTGTGTAGACCCCAGGAAGAGTAGCTGCAGCTTCAGCTGTAGCTAATGGGGATCCTAATAAAATACTAATACTAGACACCGATATACAGCTAGATAGAAAAATCTGCAGCAGGCAGCCAGCCAGGTAGGCAACAGGCTTGGGTGCCTCTTAACTACAGAGGTTGGAATGCTTCAGGTACAAGTTGGTTGTAGATACAGATCTAGGATCAGCTTGGGGATCACCAGTTTTACATTAGTTAAATCAATAACCATCAAGGATCAGCAACCAGAAGCAAGGACTGCCCAACACTGTTATAATAATGTCCTTAACAGTCATGACAGCTAGTGTCAGCTTATGAAAACTGACTGATGGGTCCATGTACAGTGGGGGAAAAAAGTATTTAGTCAGCCACCAATTGTGCAAGTTCTCCCACTTAAAAAGATGAGAGAGGCCTGTAATTTTCATCATAGGTACACGTCAACTATGACAGACAAAATGAGAAGAAAAAAATCCAGAAAATCACATTGTAGGATTTTTTATGAATTTATTTGCAAATTATGGTGGAAAATAAGTATTTGGTCAATAACAAAAGTTTCTCAATACTTTGTTATATACCCTTTGTTGGCAATGACACAGGTCAAACGTTTTCTGTAAGTCTTCACAAGGTTTTCACACACTGTTGCTGGTATTTTGGCCCATTCCTCCATGCAGATCTCCTCTAGAGCAGTGATGTTTTGGGGCTGTCGCTGGGCAACACGGACTTTCAACTCCCTCCAAAGATTTTCTATGGGGTTGAGATCTGGAGACTGGCTAGGCCACTCCAGGACCTTGAAATGCTTCTTACGAAGCCACTCCTTCGTTGCCCGGGCGGTGTGTTTGGGATCATTGTCATGCTGAAAGACCCAGCCACGTTTCATCTTCAATGCCCTTGCTGATGGAAGGAGGTTTTCACTCAAAATCTCACGATACATGGCCCCATTCATTCTTTCCTTTACACGGATCAGTCGTCCTGGTCCCTTTGCAGAAAAACAGCCCCAAAGCATGATGTTTCCACCCCCATGCTTCACAGTAGGTATGGTGTTCTTTGGCTGCAACTCAGCATTCTTTGTCCTCCAAAAACGACGAGTTGAGTTTTTACCAAAAAGTTCTATTTTGGTTTCATCTCACCATATGACATTCTCCCAATCCTCTTCTGGATCATCCAAATGCACTCTAGCAAACTTCAGACGGGCCTGGACATGTACTGGCTTAAGCAGGGGGACACGTCTGGCACTGCAGGATTTGAGTACCTGGCGGCGTAGTGTGTTACTGATGGTAGGCTTTGTTACTTTGGTCCCAGCTCTCTGCAGGTCATTCACTAGGTCCCCCCGTGTGGTTCTGGGATTTTTGCTCACCGCTCTTGTGATCATTTTGACCCCACGGGGTGAGATCTTGCGTGGAGCCCCAGATCGAGGGAGATTATCAGTGGTCTTGTATGTCTTCCATTTCCTAATAATTGCTCCCACAGTTGATTTCTTCAAACCAAGCTGCTTACCTATTGCAGATTCAGTCTTCCCAGCCTGGTACAGGTCTACAATTTTGTTTCTGGTGTCCTTTGACAGCTCTTTGGTCTTGGCCGTAGTGGAGTTTGGAGTGTGACTGTTTGAGGTTGTGGACAGGTGTCTTTTATACTGATAAGTTCAAACAGGTACCATTAACACAGGTAACGAGTGGAGGACAGAGGAGCCTCTTAAAGAAGAAGTTACAGGTCTGTGAGAGCCAGAAATCTTGCTTGTTTGTAGGTGACCAAATACTTATTTTCCACCATAATTTGCAAATAAATTCATAAAAAATCCTACAATGTGATTTTCTGGATTTATTTTTCTCAATTTGTCTGTCATAGTTGACGTGTACCTATGATGAAAATTACAGGCCTCTCATCTTTTTAAGTGGGAGAACTTGCACAATTGGTGGCTGACTAAATACTTTTTCCCCCACTGTATGCTGATAATGGTGTAGATTCCACTAGATGTAGAGATGTACAAGAAGTGAATAAATTCTCACCCTCGTACCATCTTGATATATATGATATACAGTGAGGGAAAAAAGTATTTGATCCCCTGCTGATTTTGTACATTTGCCCACTGACAAAGAAATGATCAGTCTATAATTTTAATGGTAGGTTTATTTGAACAGTGAGAGACAGAATAACAACAAAAAAATCCAGAAAAACGCATGTCAAAAATGTTATAAATTGATTTGCATTTTAATGAGGGAAATAAGTATTTGACCCCCTCTCAATCAGAAAGATTTCTGGCTCCCAGGTGTCTTTTATACAGGTAACGACCTGAGATTAGGAGAACACTCTTAAAGGGAGTGCTCCTAATCTCGGTTTGTTGCCTGTATAAAAGAGACCTGTCCACAGAAGCAATCAATCAATCAGATTCCAAACTCTCCACCATGGCCAAGTCCAAAGAGCTCTCCAAGGATGTCAGGGACAAGATTGTAGACCTACACAAGGCTGGAATGGGCTACAAGACCATCGCCAAGCAGCTTGGTGTGAAGGTGAAAACAGTTGGTGCGATTATTCGCAAATGGAAGAAACACAAAATAACTGTCAATCTCCCTCGGCCTTGGGCTCCATGCAAGATCTCACCTCGTGGAGTTGCAATGATCATGAGAACGGTGAGGAATCAGCCCAGAACTACACGGGAGGATCTAGTCAATGATCTCAAGGCAGCTGGGACCATAGTCACCAAGGAAACAATTGGTAACACACTACGCAGTGAAGGACTGAAACCTGCAGCGCCCGCAAGGTCCCCCTGCTCAAGAAAGCACATATACATGCCCATCTGAAGTTTGCCAATAAACATCTGAATGATTCAGAGGAGAACTGGGTGAAAGTGTTGTGGTCAGATGAGACCAAAATGGAGCTCTTTGGCGTCAACTCAACTCGCCGTGTTTGGAGGAGGAGGAATGCTGCCTATGACCCCAAGAACACCATCCACACCGTCAAACATGGAGGTGGAAACATTATGCTTTGGGGGTGTTTTTCTGCTAAGGGGACAGGACAACTTCACCGCACCAAAGGGACGATGGACGGGGCCATGTACCGTCAAATCTTGGGTGAGAACCTCCTTCCCTCAGCCAGGGCATTGAAAATGGGTCGTGGATGGGTATTCCAGCATGACAATGACCCAAAACACACGGCCAAGGCAACAAAGGAGTGGCTCAAGAAGAAGCACATTAAGGTCCTGGAGTGGCCTAGCCAGTCTCCAGACCTTAATCCCATGGAAAATCTGTGGAGGGAGCTGAAGGTTCGAGTTGCCAAACGTCAGCCTCGAAACCTTAATGACTTGGAGAAGATCTGCAAAGTGGAGTGGGACAAAATCCCTCCTGAGATGTGTGCAATGCTGGTGGCCAACTACAAGAAACGTCTGACCTCTGTGCCAACAAGGGTTTTGCCACCAAGTACTAAGTCATGTTTTGCAGAGGGGTCAAATACTTATTTCCCTCATTAAAATGCAAATCAATTTATAACATTTTTTACATGCGTTTTTCTGGATTTTTTTGTTGTTATTCTGTCTCTCACTGTTCAAATAAACCTACCATTAAAATTATAGACTGATCATGTCTTTGTCAGTGGGCAAACATACAAAATCAGCAGGGGATCAAATACTTTTTTCCCTCACTATACCTGTCATCTGTATACATACATGGACCAGCTCAGACTTCAATACAAGAACAGGGTAGAAGTTCTAGGATATACAGTCTCAGTATGATGTCTCAGTGAGAGCCAGAGAGAAGTGGCCCAGCCCCTGACTTGTCCACTGCTTGCCCCTTCAGCCGGCTAGCTGGGGCACTTAGCAGGGTCACTGGTCCCCGGCTGAGGGGTACAGTAGAGCTCACCTCTCCTTTCTCCATCCCATTTTCTTTTCCCTCTAACAACAGCAGAGCTCTGTCATCCTGCTGACCTTGAGCTGCTGAGGAGGAAACCCACTGCTGAGCGAACAGAGTAGCCCACAGGCTGTGTGTGTGTTGTTTTAGTGTGTGTGAAAGTGTGTGTAAGAGGGATAGATACAGTTGAAGTTGGAAGTTTACATACACTTTAGGTTGGAGTCATTAAAACTCGTTTTTCAACCACTCCACAAATTTCTTGTTAACAAACTATAGTTTTGGCAAGTCTGTTAGGACATCTACTTTGTGCATGACACAAGTCATTTTTCCAACAATTGTTTACAGACAGATTATTTCACTTATAATTCACTGTATCACAATTCCAGTGGGTCAGAAGTTTACATACACTAAGTTGACTGTGCCTTTAAACAGCTTGGAAAATTCCAGAAAATCACGTCATGGCTTTAGAAGCTTCTGATAGGCTAATTGACATCATTTGAGTCAATTGGAGGTGTACCTGTGGATGTATTTCAAGGCCTACCTTCAAACTCAGTGCCTCTTTGCTTGACATCATGGGAAAATCAAAAGAAATCAGCCAAGACCTCAGAAAAAAAATGTGTATGTGGTTCATCCTTGGGAGCAATTTCCAAACACCTGAAGGTACCACGTTCATCTGTACAAACAATAGTACCCAAGTATAAACACCATGGGACCACGCAGCCGTCATACTGCTCAGGAAGGAGACGCGTTCTGTCTCCTAAAGATGAACACACTTTGGTGTAAAAATGCAAATCAATCACAGAACAACAGCAAAGGACCTTGTGAAAATGCTGGAGGAAACAGGTACAAAAGTATCTATATCCAAAGTAAAACGAGCCCTATATCGACATAACCTGAAAGGCCGCTCAGCAAGGAAGAAGCCACTGCTCCAAAACCGCCATAAAAAAGCCAGACTACGGTTTGCAACTGCACATGGGGAGAAAGATTGTACTTTTTGGATAAATGTCCTCTGGTCTGATGAAACAAAAATAGAACTGTTTGGCTATAATGACCATCGTTATGTTTGGAGGAAAAAGGGAATGCTTGCAAGCCGAAGAACACCATCCCAACCGTGAAGCACGGGGGTGGCAGCATCATGCTGTGGGGGTGCTTTCCTGCAGGAGGGACTGGTGCACTTCACAAAATAGATGGCATCATGAGGAAGGAAAATTATGTTGATATATTGAAGCAACATCTCAAGACATCAGTAAGGAAGTTAAAGCTTGATCGCAAATGGGTCTTCCAAATGGACAATGACCCCAAGCATACTTCCAAGGTTTTGGCAAAATGGCTTAAGGACAACAAAGTCAAGGTATTGGAGTGGCCATCACAAAGCCCTGACCTCAATCCTATAGAAAATGTGTGGGCAGTACTTAAAAAGCGTGTGCGAGCAATGAGGCCTACAAACCTGATTCAGTTACACCAGCTCTGTCAGGAGGAATGGGTCAAAATTCACCCAACTTATTGTGGGAAGCTTGTGGAAGGCTACCCGAAACGTTTAACCCAAGTTAAACAATTTAAAGGCAATGCTACCAAATACTAATTGAGTGTATGTAAACTTCTGACCCACTGGGAATGTGATGAAAGAGAAATAAAAGCTGAAATAAATCACTCTCTATTATTATTCTGACATTTCACATTCTTAAAATAAAGTGGTGATCCTAACTGACCTAAGACAGGGAATTCTTACTAGGATTAAATGTCAGGAATTGTGAAAAACTGTTTAAATGTATTTGGCTTCCGACTTCAACTGTAAATTAAGAGAAAGACTATGAGAGAGAGAAAAAAGAGAAAGGGGCAGCATATGAGTAGGCTATTGTAAGGGGTGTCGTGCTTTGAGTGAAAACATTGGTAAATTTAGCCAACATAGCATAATCCTGAGGAAATATGATTCAGATGAGAGGAACTGAATGTGTGTGTGTTTCACAGGTCTGATGCAATTAGGTGACCCTCTCAACCAGACCCACCAGGAACAACTTTCAACAGTCACCATGGCAACCCCCATTTCGTACGTCCACTTAGAAGGGTGACTTAATTACATGCGTTCTGAACTTCATCCAGACGCAAAAAAACAAAAACCTTTTTTTTTTAAACCATTCTTCCCATTTTTTTTAAAAGAAACTCTTTCAGAAACGAAGATCCTTCCTTAGTCCTCCATTAGCCATGTTTCTCAGAGGGAGGAGGTGGGGCTTGCCTGGGCAAGGCACCAGCAGTGCACTGCTGTCAGGCCTGATGCAGTATGGGTATCCGACAGACGCTAGCTAGAGCAAACCCTCCCTCCGGGCCAGCTCGTTCTAAAGTGATGAAAACACAAAACCGCAAACAACCTCGATGTTCTCCAAAAACACTGAGAAAAGGATCCAATTAAGGACTTTTATGAGGCTGTTGTCACATTAGCCTAAGAGATCTCTCGTCTCTCTCCCAATGTGTGTGTGTGCGCGCGCTGTGTGTGTAATTACCCTATGTGTGTGTGTGCGCTGTGTGCATGTTTTGCCTGAAGGGGGCTGAGATGTGCTTTAGTCAGTCTGAAGCTGTGTGGCTTAACCGTAACAATGAGAGGGGATGGAAGTAATACCGCACCATGGAGGATTAGGGCGACTGTGATATAGTGCATCAGGCCTGGGAGCAAGCTGTATGCTACGGTCAGACCTTGAGGCCGTGGGTGGTGTGTGTGTGTGGGAGGGGTGTATGTGTGTGTGGGAGGTGTGTGTGTGCGAGCGAGCGAAAGAGAGCGTGATAGTGAATTAATAAAGGTAGATGAGTGATGCAGTCTGAGAGCATGTGTGCGTGTTTGTGAGAGAAAGCTTATTAGTATACCGGCCTATAGGTGTAGGAGTGATTAAGACTGAGCATATGGTGTGAGTGCCTGTGAGTGTATGCCTGTGAGTGAGGCCGATGTGCTGCATGGTACAGTATGTGACTGATTAAGACAGGCAGTGTACTGTGTGTGCTGTATATCAGGGACATATGTTAGTGGGTGTTTGCATTAATGATTATCTGTCCGCATATGCGTGTGGCTGTAAATATGAGAGACAGAGGCAGTGCGATGTGACTGACTAGTGTATGTGTTTGTGTGTGCATGTGCACGCTTGCCCCCGTAACCCTCAACCCTGGTTAGTGCTGAGTGATTAACCAAAATGTTGGTTATTTTTATGTTTTTAAACATCTAATTGACTGAAGTCGGTTCAATTATTTGAATTCCATTTCGTTAGTTTTTTCCCCCTGTGAGCTCAATGCGCACATTGCATAGTTTCTCTAGAGATAAATCAGATACAGCCTGAACTGTGTGATGTTGTAGGGAGTTGTAATTTCCAACAAGCCAATATTCTACATAGTTTAGGGCATACAATGTGGTAATTAACTACAATGACCATAATCCATTGTGCATTTACTTGTCTGGTCTGTTTCTTTTACGCCTGCTACAGAAGAGAGAAGAATATGAGATGGTGAGGTGATATACAGAGCAGCTGTTGCTTTGTGAGGTATCTCTACCTGAAAATACATGATCTAAGTGATTGATAGTTGGTATTCAGTGGTGATAAAAGTATGCCTTCTTTACTTTGAAGAACTACAAACTAGGGATTTTGTCAGACAGCATAGGCAGCAGCTCTATAGAGATGAGATGATGACTTGGAATTAAATAATAAAGTAATCAAATAAAACAAATATAATGTACACAACTGAAATATCTTTTTTCAGTAATGTGAATAAATTATGGTTAATAAGTGATATGCAATGTCGTGATGTGACTAATGTATGACTGTTATTTATCGAATCAACTAACTATGTTTAATTGTCACTCAATTAAATTAATCCTGTAACAATTAACTCATTAGGAATTTGGGGCACCATGGAAGAACTTGTTTAATGAGTTACCATCTCCCGAATTAAACTCTTAGAAGATATATATGTTATATATCGATAAGTCACTTATTAAATAATGACCTCTTATCAGTCTCATTCTGAACATCGCATAATATAAATGCAACATGTATTTACGTGTAGCTGTCCTCGATAGTTGAGTTGATGTAGGACTGGTTTGCCCACCTGAGATCCCAATGTCCTTGGTTGAGTTTCTGGTTGTAGTGGTGGTTAGAATGAAAACTTCAGCGTACCCTGTAGTTCGTAGAGTTGATCTGTCAGAATAGATACTTCAGATGTATCAGTGGTTGTCGGAGAGGGATTGTTCTTCCCAATTTGTGTCTTCATTGAAAGTTCTCTAGACGACTATACATGCCATCTGCAGACTGAGATAAGGTCTAGTGCATTGTCTTCTTCTTCACCTCATGTAGAGGTTGAGAGTTTCAGAGTTTCTCCATTTCAAACGTGTGGACTAACGTCTCACGTTTTCTGGTCTTTCTGGTCTAACCATTTTGTAACGTGTAGCTTCAGCTTCACGCTTCCTGGTCTGGTAGAAATTCAACCATTTGCAACATCCGGTTTATACCGTAATCTGCTTGGTCTTCCTTTGGTAATGGAGTTGTAATTTTAAACCATTTTGTAACATTTAGCTCACGCTTCACGTCTGCTGGTCTGAGGTGAATTTCGTCACGAGGGGCTTTATACTTGAGTAGAAAAGGGGGCTCATCTGGGCACGGCCACTGACTGAGAACAAATCAATATGGAAACAATCATCTCATCTAGAATGCTAAAACCACATTATCTTCACAAAAGTATTATTATACTTAATCATTTGTTTTATACAACAATTAGATGCAAACCTCATAACTGGGAAGTGTACACCCCCAGAGATACAGTTATGTTGTTCCACCGTCTTTAATGACATCACAACATAGTAACGAATTTGACATGATTGTTCTTTAAGTCGCCACCGACCATTTCCCACATTCTTTTAAGTAGGAATATTGTTTCATTATCCACTTCTGGATGTTGGAGTCTTGGCGGGAAGAGTTCCTTTGTCTCACAGGGAAATTCCCTCTCCCAATACTGCATGGCACGGAAACGAAAGTGTCTGCAAGGAATTTACAACCGGTCATAAAACTGGCCCGCAGGAGAGGGGGTGTTCAAACCTTTACCTAGCCGGCATCTTTGATCCTCAACCCATGAGGGCAAGTCATGACAGCAGTAATGGGCAGTCACTACCATCATGGGTCTTTTATTAATTGTTTTATTCTGTGTTGTTACAGCATTCAACCCAAATAATCGAAACTAAATCGTAAACCTTGATTATTTTTTAAATAATCGAACCGAAACCGAATAGACCTCAAAAAGCACTAAGCGCTCAGCACTACCCCCTGTATTCCCCACTCATCATCCCCGCGGCTGGATGCCCTGCGGTGTGTGTCCGGTCTTCTCTCCTCCTCGCTCCTGCACGCTCTCCTCCACAACTAATTCATTACCTTAATTAGGCCTCATTATCCAGCTTATGCTAGTTCCAATTAGCATCCTAGCATAACATAACCCTGAGGTCCGCTTCCCCAAACAAAACACACAGGCTGTGTGCAGGGTCCCATGACGGCCGTGAGGTCTGGCTACACACGGGGGAATCCGATCACGCTCACTTACAGTCCAGAATCTAGTAAGTCTTACTCTCCACTTACCAACTGACTTTCAGAGAGGTCTCCCTTTCTAAATAGGCAAAAAAAACTCCCCTATTATGCATGTAGGAAGGCGCAAGACACTTTGCTCTTACAGTATTGTTCATCAAGTTATAGGGACTACACCTAAGAACTGACCATCAGTGTCAGTCACACCTAACTATAGTAAAAAATGTTTAAAGTCAGTTGTCAAAATGTCAATTTGCCCATTTTGTTTTTACATTAGAATTGTCTTTATTATTCAAACAAGTGATAATGTTTGGGTTATTGTCAGTACTCCAGGAAGAAAGTGGAAGTTTTCTTGAACAATCTACACATGACGATGGCTAGCTAGTTAGCATTACCTTGTTGTGACTTGAAGGCTGAGTAACTCCAAACAAGGACTCAAAACCAAAACAGTTACCTCAGGAAAGTATTGTCAAGGTCCTAGCTAGCTTAGCTATGCTACCATATAAAGAAACCTTGAATGTTTAAGAGTAGCTAGATGTAGTGAAGTGAGTGACACAGCCCGTATGGCATGCTAACTTCTAGACAGCCAAGTGAATCCGTTTCCCACTTATACCTCCCCCCAGCATTTCCTCCTAGCCTACCATTCCCCTGTCACGTGTAAGCCTGAATATTTTACAAATACACAGATAACAAGGGTCCCTCCTGCCGAGATACTAATTCACTGTGACGGCTTTATCCAATGCAATCTTTTCAATTTGTTCTCTCCGTTTTTTTTCTAGCTGTTTTCCTCAGCAAACAGATGGAGGCAATTTTTCAGTTACATTTAGTATCTGCCCATTACTCAGACTCCCCAATGACTAACTCTCTCTCCAGAGGATGAGGGGGGACTTTTAGAGGGACTCTCAACTCCCCCAGACATACTTCAAATCAAAGATTATTGGTCTCGTACACTGTTTAGCAGATGTTATAGTGGGTGCAGCAAAATGCTTATGTTACTAGCTCCTAACAATGCACACAGCCACGCACACATGCACAATACAGTCTCACAGCACCAAGACAGTTCAAATATAATCTGACACACACACACACACACAAACTACAGACACACACTTCACAGTCAGTGCGATTGGCTCCCTGTTCCGGGCCCTGAGTCACATCAGAGGTCCAGACTGTCTGCACACACACTGGAGACCAGCTGTGTCTTATACTGCAGTGCACTTCACTTCCAGATGGCCCTCACGCTGACGCAGTGTGTGTGTGTGTGTGTCATGCGTGTGTGCGTGCCATCCGTGTGGGAGTATACGTGTGTGTGTGAGTGAGAGACGGTCTTGGATTTAGACAGCACATGCTTTGCTGCAGCCTCCTTTTAAACTCATACATTTGTCATCAGAGCTGCTGGAATAGATAGCACAGAGCAGAGGAGGCCATATTTAGCCATTGAGCGATGGACTTTTATCTGCAGCACACTAACAATCATGTCAATATGGAAAAACACACACACACACACACACACACACACACTCATAACTCATGTGCAAATCCCAGTGCATATGGCCCTGGTCTCATCTGCCTCTAGCTCCACTCCTCAAGAAAGATGACTGAAAACCTAATTAACTCAAATAACATATTCTAATTTATTCCCTTTAAAGGCTAAAATCACAAACTCAGGGCCATATGCGCCCCCAGTTGCAGCACAGCATGCGATAAAGTACAATAAAACACAGACTCACAAATAAAAATATAAATGGATGAATGAATAAAGATCGCTAAAGGTTTCAGAATATGATTCCCTAGCATAAACAGTCATACTACATTTGAACAGTAGTATTTTGACTCTCGCTCTCTTCAACACACACACCAACACAAATAACTCTGTTCTCTTTCTCTCACTTACACTCCAACCCTAGCAATCATGCTCTGCGTGAGTCTGACATATTCAAAGGCGAAGCAGCAAACCCTCACATTATATGACAGAGGAGAGCTGCACAGGGATAATGCCTGACAGAGTGAGGGTGAATGAGAGCAAAGTGCTGTCTGTCTGTCTGTGTGTGTGTTTGTGTGTACACTTGAGAGGCTTACAAAGTACCAAGACACAGGAGCAACATGAATCAGAGAACGAGAGGATGAGAAAATACATCAGTATGACAATGGTTCAATTAAGAATTATTCAGAAAAATCTAATTCTATACAAAATGCTCCCACTGTTTTTATAAAGGGCTTAATCCTGATGTGAAAATGTGTGCACATAGCCCTTACCTTCGCATAGGTCTGAATGAATCATGCATTGATGAAAATTTGAATTATTCACACGGACCTCAAGCTAGGACCCTAAGAGAAAGGAGTCATTGTTTTTGTGCATTGTTTCTTGTCTGTTGATGTGACTAATGCCACTAGAGAAGGTGGCCTTTGGCCCTAACCAACACATCTTAGTCATATGACACACCTTAGCCTGGCTAGCCGTCTGGTCTCATATGACCCATCTTAGGGCTAAAGCCTGGGTGGAACCTAGGGTCGGGTCAGTGGGGTCAAAGGGCACTCTGGTCCCCAACCCAACAAACAAAAGGCACGGGGTGGTGGTAGTCTTTGAAGGGGGTTGTTGTTCGCTTTGTGGCTGTGGGGTGTCTAGTGTGTGTGTGTGTGTGTGTGTGTGTGTGTGTGTGTGTGTGTGTGTGTGTGTGTGTGTGTGTGTGTGTGTGTGTGTGTGTGTGTGTGTGTGTGTGTGTGTGTGTGTAATCCCCCGCTTAAGCCCGAGGTGAGAGCAGTGAGCAGCCCCCTGGTGCAGTGGAGCTGTCTGAGAGGAGGAGAGCTGTACGGGGAACAGCTGTTCCTGAGCACTCGGCGGCGAGGTCAGGGGGAGAGGCGGCCGCGCTGCAGCTGTGTTCTCAGGGCGGCTGGGACCCAGAGAGGAGTGGGGCTGTTCACAGACAGAGCCAGGAGAGGGTCACACGCAGAGAGACAACAGAGAGATGGCAGATACAAGAAACGCAGAATCCCGCACACAGACCAAAACAGAAAAACAACCCAAACACAAAGAATCTAAATCTACAGTGAATCTCTCACACACACAGAGATTAGAGTGAAAGATCCAGCAGCACAGAGGCCAAAATTGCAGTAAACAGCCTTGCCAAAACTAGGCTTAGAGGCAGCAACTACAGTGAAAGTCCAGAAAGTAAGTCTACAAAGAAAGACCTTTCATGCAGAAACCTCAGAAAAATAGATTATTTGCAGAGAAACACCTTCTGCACAGAAACCACAAAGAAATAGCTTATCCAAAGATAGAAGCCCTTTGACTTCTTTACAGGAGTCTAGACTAAAGAAGCGGAAGAACTGTATGTCCGACCTTGTGTTAGACAAACCTACTCAGTACAAGAAAGATAAAAGTGAAGGTAGCTGTGACCCTTCTCCGAACTTCATCACGCTTCAATTCGTATCCGAGTTACAATTAAGAGCGCACATTTCAGACTGAACCGACTGTAGTTTAAATAATCAAATCCCAATAAGGATCGGATAGAGAAGGAATGTGTTTAAAATTGAATGAGAAAGTGAGTTTGAATGCTAGCCTTGACTTCCAGCCATGAACCCGTTAAGGTTGAAGAGAGAATATTATGAAAATGTATGCACTCACTAACTGTAAGTTGCTCTGGATAAGAGCGTCTGCTAAATGACAAAAAATTTAAACGTAAGAGAAGAAAGATGGGGGAGGGGAATCATAAGTCAATAATAGAGAGGACTAAGTAGTTTCCTAGCAACCTGTTTCTGATGGACCACAGCGGCTTACTTTGTCTCACTTGCAGATAGAGGGAGTGTGAGACAGACGGCCCCATCCCAAATCGACCACCTGACTCCTAGCCCCTATGATCTAAGAGGATTGGAAAGGAAGGCCTAAGCAATATGGTAATAACTCTACCTTGCTCTCTGATCTTCTAGGTGGAATTCGCGCATATATTGCATCCCTCTCAGATCTCCACAAATGCATAAGGGGTAAGGGCTAGGGGTCAAATCGGTATTAAGCAAGAGATGAGGACAACAGATGTTTGACATATGCACTAAATATGCAATATACCATCAAATATAGTAGATAACCACTAAAGTAATAGGCCAGAGGTTTACAAGACACAGTAATAGATTGGGATCTATTGAGCATGATTCTACACTCCTGAGGTGGGGTTGGTTGGAGGATGATGCCAACACCACCAGAGTTGTGGCTTTGATTCCTGCATGGGTCGCAACTACTGAATGTGTGACTGAACCGTAAGTCGCTTTGAATAAGCGCACCAGCCAAATGACCGTATTGTAATTTACATTCCTGAAGCTGAGGAACCATGGCTCCTAAACCCAGTAACTGGACATACTTAAGTCTCCTTCAGGGCTGTGTCATTTCACCTTTCATTCTCCTCATTCAGAACGCCGAAGAGTATTTTTTCCGCAGTGTGCAATCAAGCAGATAGTCTACGTTTTGAATCTACAACAGAGGGATATTGTTGCCAGAGAGCCATGACTTCAGTCACTAAGAATGTCAACCTCTTCATTTCAAAAGGGAGACGCTGAAGGTGAGTTGTCGGGAAAAGAGAGGAAAAAAAGAGAGCGATGGAGTAAGGGAAGGGAGAAAGAACGAAGGATTAATAGTAGCAATTACGCCGCGACTATCTCTGTTCGCAAGCAGCCCATGCATACTCTCAAAGTGCTCAAAGAAGTTTGTTTGACAAACAAGGACACCTTTACATATGGATTTCTCTTTGTGGGGTACACACAGATACACACACTCACTCCTCTATCTTAGACTCTCTCATCTTGAATGCATAATCTTGTCTTTTTCCTCACTGTGGTAATCTAGTGCTTTGATCCGTCTCAGTGAGGAGCTGTCGACTCATATCCAACCATGTAATTCAGCCCAATGAGGTGTTTGAGGAGCCGCCATTGTTAGCCACCCCCTCTGACAATCGAGACAATCTACCTCTGAAAGTCATAATCTCACCAAGGCTTTAACCGTCTCCGACTAAGAGCTCAGTTATTTTCGGCGACAAACACAAGCCACAAAAGCCACTCTCAAACACGATGGAGAAACAACTCAGAGAGCAAGTAAACCATTGCCTCTCATAATAGGCCTGGCTAACTGCTTCAGCGCCAACAGTGACTGCAATTACCATTGTAATAACGGCTAATGGTATTGCTAATCATAACAATAGCGCAGTGTGAAGAGAAAATTGTGCTTGCAGGCCCAGATGCAGTGTAGGGCAATTAGGCTAAGGAAAATAACTGGGGGCCCGGCCTCCTTTGTTTGATTCCATCTTATCAGGCCCATCTCTCTCTGGCACTCTGCTTTCACTCCCTTGGCTTTGAAGTCAAAAAGTAAACACAATAAACACGGCTGCTGATGTCTGACGAGAATTCAGTGAGAACGACTGACTTGGAAGTGACACAGGTGGACAGATGGCTGAGAGAACCGCAAGCCATGATGACATGACAGCTGAACCTTTGATGGAAGGGTAAACGCCAAGGAAAGAAATCCTAGAATTAGTCTTCTACTAAGCATTGTCAGGTTTCCGTAGACTCGTAACAGTTTGAGCTAAAACGCTAATGATAGGCAATGAAAGCGGCAGGTTAAAAGGTATCATCAGTAACAACACTGCGAGAGCTTGCACCCTCCATTTTAACTAGCGCTTCTATCAAAAAAGGCAGTGCAAGTCCCAGGAGCCCCTCGGTGCAATGCTGACACACTCCCCTTCAGCTGAAGCAGTTCAAAGAAGCTCAATAAAACATTTACAGCGCTGAGAAGGCTGCTTCTTCTTCTCCCTCTTTCCATCTATATCCCCGCTCGCTCTCTCTCGTTCCCTCTCTCTACTATGAATGACCTTGGGTTAAACACATTTAATTAGAGCTCACAGGATCTGCACGCCCCCTCCTGCTCTCAGAGCTCAAAGCCGAGCCCTCTGGACAGCCATTAAATCACATGCGAGCCGGAGCTTCCAACTGTCAGACCACACAAGCTTTCTTCTCTTCAGGCTTCGCAATCAAACATAACAGGGCCTTGATCGACGGGCCAAGGTTTCGAGCTGAAGAAGTGTTCCCCACACACATGCATAACATTGGTATACTACATGCACATGGTACAGAGGAGTGAACAAAGACCGATACACTCCTGCATCCCACTCCCTCAGACCTTCTTCATACAAGATAGTGCATTGCAAGCCATAGCTTTGAAAAGGTACCTCCATCTTGGAGATTTCCAGCACGCAAGCCAGAACTACATATTTCACATATGGGTCACTTGGGTCAGTAACACTGCATAGTGTGCGTTAATGTTGCATCGCCAACATTGAGAATAACCAGCAGCCATGATTAGCAATATACACTGAGCCATAAAAATGTATATCTAAACATGAGAAACTGTGAGGTACCTGTGATTATCGCTATTGGACACAAACACCGCAGGCTACCTATTACACATCATGATGATTGCAGGTTTTCTAAAGAAAGTCTATGCACATTGCCTACTATGTGCCTGGATAAAAAAAAAAAAACAGCCAGTCAGTAAAACAGAAGCTATCTAATTTCCAATGCAACATCTGGGGAAATAAAAGGTCACAGAGATTTATATTTAGATGCTCCAGGTATTTATTTATTTCCACAGAGCAGAGCTGACAATGGAGTTATGTGAAAAACTGCACAGAAAAAGGCAGAACCAAACGTTAGCATAAGCGCGAACGTTCCCAGGTTAGCCGTGTTTAGGGGTTTGTCTTCCTGAGGCGTCAGAGAGAGATCTCATTAGTCTCTTTATGAATATTTGTGTTGGAAACTCAACTCCCCCGAGGAAAGTTTCATGGTGACACTTGGAAGGGAAGAAAAAGAAGATGGATTCTCAACTCGGAGCCCCGATCCCCAATCAGATAATAAATCACACCCTCCTATCGTTAGCAACAAAAGGCTAAAAAAATGTTAAACACGCCACAAGAAGTAGACTCAGGAGAAAGCAAAGGCATACAGGACAGTACAGGCCCTAATTAAAGGCTGAGAAAGCTCTTGGGGTAGCTGCTAGGCCTATTTTCCCTTCCACTTTATGACGCTTTAGGTATTTTCTGCACCCCTCGAGGTGTATAAGAACATGATTAATGCTTGTTTCTAGTGGGGATCCGTTTTTTCTGTGGCATTCGCATTCCGACGAGGACAAACTCTTAACCTGGCAAATGAGGAGTACTGATTCACCTTTAATAACTCAAAAGAGATGTGGATCTCACTCAGCTCCGGCCGAGGGATGTTTCAAATGATATCCATCAACGGCAGTTAGCAGCGCTGCACTGTCAACAGGGTCGGCCCGCCCATTAGGCAGGATTAGGGTGGCAGATTGACGAGGGCGGCATTTTCTGAGGTAAACTGACCAAGACGCACACCTCACATAATTCTGCCCAAAAACAATGAAAACATGTCCATGCCCAAAGTGCCTCTCCAGTGTGCTGTTGGCGAGACGCAACGCTGCGACGCACCACCAATGCTCAAGTAACCTAACATAAATCATGTAGCCTATAGTAGAAAGAGTAGTAGCCTATGTGGTTTTTCTGTAGCCTAGACTGGAGATCATATTTATGACCATGTTACGAGACAAAATTACATCATGCACGTAGCCTAAATGGCGCCCTTTCAAATAAAATGAACTTCGATTTTAATATTTTTATATACACGTTAACAAACACCATATCCTAAAAACAGGTAAAGGTAAAGACAATATGGAATGAAATTAGGCTACTAATGACTGCTGTCCGGGAGTTAAATTGTCATGAATCAGTGATTTCAATTGTAGGCCTATTCATAAATGTTTGACAAGCTGATCGTAGCGAAGAAAAAAATACCTCTGCATTTCCCACTGTGTAAACACATTGATTCTCATTGCAACTAGGCTCAAAATAACTCCTGATAAACTTGGGTAGCTGATATGCTTATAATCTTAAAATAGCCAAAATGATTAGTCTTAAGCCTTGGTCAAGTATCAGGACTAGGATAATGAAGCCAATGCAACTGCCTGCTTTACAAACGGTACGACATGGATGGGCATCCATAAAATTGCATTGCGGGCCGACACTGTAGGCTACACTATTCAAGTTTTGTGGGGACAGGGCGGCAGAACAGCCAGAACCAGGCCTGACTGTCAAAGCACCATTTGGCTGCTGTCCATTACAGGAATGCATTTTTTTTACATTTTTTTTTTTACACAGGTATTCTCTTGCACACCAGTAACCATGCAGTGTGGGAGAATATAAGGGCTGAGGAGAAATTATTTCAATTTCAGTTTTTCCTAGTATGTGGATTGTGGATAGAGGTCCGGATGAAAAATAGGTCAATAATGAAGATGATTTTAATACGTTTCATTCCATTCCTCTAACAATGATAATTGAGCTTGACTGTGAGCATATGGTTTGTATAGTTGAGCGGAGCGCATGTTGTGTGATGAGGTTTTGTGCGAGTGACTTACTTTCGAGTGGCCTGTAGGCAAATAGGCCGAGCTGAACTAAAGTTTCAATTCAAGTGAGCAGGCCACGGAATTTAGCTAGTGTGTGTTAGTGTTAGTGTGTGTGTAGGCCACAGAGTTTAGTTTTGTGTCTCTGTGTGTGTGTGCGTTCATGTCTGATTCTCCGCTTCGGTGAGCATTGCAAAAAATTTGACTTAAACAATGATCCCAGTCAGTTTTTCCAGACGTACTTTCAACATCCTGGTGAGTTGTCTGATTCATGACTCCCAGTGTTTTGACAACAACAATGACTTTTTATGGCCTTGGCAGATGTCTAATCCAAAGTTATACAAAATGGTAAACAATGTGAGCTCATCTTTAAAAGGACGTTTAAAGTAAGCAATGCTACACTCAGCAGCACTCATTAGAGCAAAATTACCCTTTTCATTGTAAGCGTCAGTAAATCAGCCATACCAGATACATTTAATTGGCTCATCACTCTAGCTTAACCCCAGCCACCACGAACCCCAGTGATGGGTACTCATAGGTAGCCAGCCATGTATACTCCTCATCAAGACAACAGTCTGCATTCATGGTCATGCATTTCCACCCCGCCTGTCGAAAAGTACAAATTGCCTAACTGTGATGATAATAGCCAAAATCATCAGGAAAGTTAATCAAATAATCTTCTTTATGCAAATAATGAGGTTGAACAAACCTGTCGGGGCAATCGCAAGCAAAGCTCGCTGTTCAATCAATGTCAGATTCTAATTCCAAGATATCACACCGCAAGATCCCTTAATTCAAACAGCCATATGAAATCTCTCCCTACAAAGCAACACAGACTCAGATGGGCCCAGCACACCTCTCCACCGCTGTAGCCCTGGGAAGATGGACAGATCATGAAGCAGCGTTGTCTGGCTGCCATCTTGAGAGGCCAGAGAAGAAGCTGTGCATGCTGTTGGCTCCTCGGCCCCCCTATAGTACCCTCTCAGATATCCATCAGCCCAGCGGCTCTCTGTTTGACAGACAGAGGGCTCATTCTAAAGCAAAGCCCTTTCTTTCACACCACACACCGCTGGCACAGATCCAAATAAAGACGTTCTGAGGGGCTTCCCTTGACCCAGAGTCTCCTATGGAGAACAGGAAGGCTTTGTAGAGGAGGGACGGCAGGGAGGCGGCAGTCAAGGAGACTGAGGTGAGAGAGGAAATAAACAATCTAGACACCAAAGACAGACACACACTTGCGTGCACACACACACGCCATAGGGGATACACTGGGTCTGGGGACCTTTAAGATGATTGTCCAATAGATCCCATTAGACATTTGTGCCACGTTTTGAATTGGCTTTTGAAAAGGGTGATACGACTGATGTGATTTGATTACTTAATAGGCCTAAGCCGAGCTACGCATTGATTATTGAAGAGAGAGAAAAACAACTCCAACTGTGATTTGATTATCAATGAGGACCGCTAGCTGGTAGTGGTAATGTAAAGCGATGCTCAGGTTCCTAAACATGAACAAATCCTTTAGCTGTGTTGTAAAAGCGGCTACCTGACAGAAAGGCGCTCTGCTTCGGTTACTAAAGAGCAGCAGTACACAGTGGGGAAAAAAAGTATTTAGTCAGCCACCAATTGTGCAAGTTCTCCCACTTAAAAAGATGAGAGAGGCCTGTAATTTTCATCATAGGTACACGTCAACTATGACAGACAAATTGAGGGAAAAAAAATCCAGAAAATCACATTGTAGGATTTTTAATGAATTTATTTGCAAATTATGGTGGAAAATAAGTATTTGGTCACCTACAAACAAGCAAGATTTCTGGGTCTCACAGACCTGTAACTTCTTCTTTAAGAGGCTCCTCTGTCCTCCACTCGTTACCTGTATTAATGGCACCTGTTTGAACTTGTTATCAGTATAAAAGACACCTGTCCACAACCTCAAACAGTCACACTCCAAACTCCACTATGGCCAAGACCAAAGAGCTGTCAAAGGACACCAGAAACAAAATTGTAGACCGGCACCAGACTGGGAAGACTGAATCTGCAATAGGTAAGCAGCTTGGTTTGAAGAAATCAACTGTGGGAGCAATTATTAGGAAATGGAAGACATACAAGACCACTGATAATCTCCCTCGATCTGGGGCTCCACGCAAGATCTCACCCCGTGGGGTCAAAATGATCACAAGAACGGTGAGCAAAAATCCCAGAACCACACGGGGGGACCTAGTGAATGACCTGCAGAGAGCTGGGACCAAAGTAACAAAGCCTACCATCAGTAACACACTACGCCGCCAGGGACTCAAATCCTGCAGTGCCAGACGTGTCCCCCTGCTTAAGCCAGTACATGTCCAGGCCCGTCTGAAGTTTGCTAGAGTGCATTTGGATGATCCAGAAGAGGATTGAGAGAATGTCAGATGAAACCAAAATATAACTTTTTGGTAAAAACTCAACTCGTCGTGTTTGGAGGACAAAGAATGCTGAGTTGCATCCAAAGAACACCATACCTACTGTGAAGCATGGGGGTGGAAACATCATGCTTTGGGGCTGTTTTTCTGCAAAGGGACCAGGACGACTGATCCGTGTAAAGGAAAGAATGAATGAATGGAGCCATGTATCATGAGATTTTGAGTGAAAACCTCCTTCCATCAGCAAGGGCATTGAAGATGAAACGTGGCTGGGTCTTTCAGCATGACAATGATCCCAAACACACCGACCGGGCAACGAAGGAGTGGCTTCGTCAGAAGCATTTCAAGGTCCTGGAGTGGCCTAGCCAGTCTCCAGATCTCAACCCCATAGAAAATCTTTGGAGGGAGTTGAAAGTCCGTGTTGCCCAGCGACAGCCCCAAAACATCACTGCTCTAGAGGAGATCTGCATGGAGGAATGGGCCAAAATACCAGCAACAGTGTGTGAAAACCTTGTGAAGACTTACAGAAAACGTTTGACCTGTGTCATTGCCAACAAAGGGTATATAACAAAGTATTGAGAAACTTTTGTTATTGACCAAATACTTATTTTCCACCATGATTTGCAAATAAATTCATTAAAAATCCGACAATGTGATTTTCTGGATTTTTTTTCCTCATTTTGTCTGTCATAGTTGACGTGTACCTATGATGAAAATTACAGGCCTCTCTCATCTTTTTAAGTGGGAGAACTTGCACAATTGGTGGCTGACTAAATACTTTTTTCCCCCACTGTATATCCCTAGCTGTGATTTGGTTACTTAATGCGGGACACCAGAGCACCACAGTCAGAGCTATCGCTACACCCTACGGAGAGAATATTCACTGACCTTTTATTCATGAGTCCCTTGAGAGAGGTTACTTATCGGTGGGCACACACCCCTATCAGAAGAGCACTCCATAACACACGGCTGCAGAGGGGAGCAGTGAGAGCCTCTAAGTGTCTGAAATATACCCAGGACATACCTGATGACTCCTCTTCAGCTGGCTAATACTGTGTTAATGCACACATCTGTGTGAACGCTGTGCTTGGAGAGTGAAGGGAAAATACTCTCCCCTTGAGCTCATTTTCTTTCTCAAGATGATAAGTGTGACATTCTGGCTTGTTGGTTGTAGAGACAGAGGTGAAATGGATGCTTGGTTTTATATCAGCATGTAAAGCACTATTTTCAAGTATGCAGCTTGTAACAGAAAATCAAAAAATCAAACGTACTCTTCCTCAGTAAGGAACACAAACAATTGTATGTGAAATATTGGCTCCATTAATTTATAAGCCATTATTTCGTCTTGCTACTACTCGTCTACTACTGTCCTCAAACCTTCCAGGGACGACGAAGCAAGTAACGCTGAACCCTGTCTCATCGCCATACTTTTCAAACTGGGCCTAGTCACTTCCAATTAGGATTATTGGGCTGACGCCAAGACAGTGTGGCCTAGTACTGTGTAGTGGGACAGACCGACGACACCTCAACAACGCTCGACTGACAGGAGTTGACAAGCGTTCTCCCCTCAGCAATTCACACAGGAACTGCTGACACTGGAGTAGGGAGGAAGATTGAGTTCCTCCCACAGATAACGACGGCAAGCCGCAAACATCAAACTGAATGTAGACTCTTCCTGAGACTGAAATGGCGATAACGGGCCGATGCAACAGTGCTCTAAACGTTGTTGTGGATAGCAAATTTGGGTTGCCAATATTAACACTCAAAGTGCGTGTTACAGTTTGGAAGGGAAGAAAAAAGTGTTCGCAAACTGCACACTCATACTTTCTCACATCCCCCCCTTCTAGTCTTTTAAAGGAAAAAAGACTTCACGGCATTCGACTAGAAAAACAGCCTTAGCGTGACGCTGATACAGGTCTACTAGGAAGGTATTTCCCAGCTAGTAGGGGCAAACAACCTGTGGAATAATTGTAGAGCACCGCTGAGGGTGAACATAACACAAGTAAAAGTAGGGAGCGTGTAGCTCTTAACCGGGTCTCTGAACGACGCTACACCTTCGCCACTTTGGCAGACTGATGAGTTCAAAGAGCTCATGGTAATAGCCTGTCTCCAACATCCCCCTAACCATACATCTTTCCAAGCAATAAAAATGGGAAAGCAATCAGGTGGGAAGAGGGGTGTGTGTGTGGGTATAAGAAAAAGATCATGTGAACCTATATGTGTGTGCCAGTGAGAGCAAGCTAATGTTTGTGTGTGTGTTGTGCACTGCATCCAAGATGAAGCCATGATTCCCACCCATCACTTAATATGATTAAAGAGTCAGACACAATAAAAAGCATTCCCCCTTTCTTAAAGTAACCAAACAATTATGGAGAGCGGCCTGGGAGGGATATTTACTTTTTGTCTGGAGCCGGAGTGAGCGAGGCGCAGGCAGCCAAGCTTCGGGCTTCGACACGGACCTTCCAGGGCAAATCACTGCTGCATTTCTGTGAGGGCATCTGAATCGATCGGCCCACTCGTTTTGACTTTCCTGACCCTCACTCATCTCACTCCTCCGTTTCGTCATTCAAAGAACGATCAAGCATTGTCTAAGATCTGCTGATCCATGTTGGGTCGTTTACAGCAAACACGCATGGTTCTGGGTCCTTAACATGCCACCACTGTCACACACTCTCAGGCAGTGATTGACAAAGACGTAAGGCCTAATCAAATGCCGCCAGTGTCCACAGAGTTTCATTCAACCATCACCCCCATAACAGCACGTCAGACCTGCCAACCGGCCTGCTTCCACACTGAGGAAGAAGGCATTAAGAACAGAAAAGGAGGGAAAGAGGTGAGGGTTGAGAATACGATATTATAGGCTCACCGATGTTGTCGGCTGGTATTGGCCTTTTTGACGCAATATCGGTATCGGCCGATAACTCCACTGATAACCAATAAATAGAATGAAAAAAGGGAATCTCATGCTTATCTGAACATTTGCGGCCATTCTCAAGATGTGTCATTTCCACAATTAATGAATTCAACATTTGAAGCAGAGTTGTTGGACAATTGCTCTTTTGGATGACAATTTATGGATTACACTTTTTAATTTCCCCACTGTAAAACAATATATCGGCAAACATATTGGTATCAGTACGTTTTGCTCCCCCCCCAAAAAAATCTGAATCGGTACCGATTCGGCAACTCCCCTATATGTCCGGGTCAGGGTCAGTGGAGGCTACTGAGGGGAGGACGGCTCATAATAATGGCTGGAACAGAGCAAATGGAATGGCATCAAACATAGAAACCATGTGGTTGATACCATTCCACTGATTCCACTCCAGCCCGTGTGGTCAGGGTGCCCCGTCTCTTTCAGGGTCACAGACAGGGCACAGATACCTAACAATTCCCATGGCAGGGAAGAGAAAACAGAGGAGACTGTCAAAACTGTCCATGAAGAGCAGACAAAACAACAGCAGGTGGAAATAAACAGAGAAAAAGAGAGGAGGGGAAAAATATAAATTTTGCTCTCCAACCAGCTGTTTCTTAATTTTTCTCATCAGAAATGTGTTCAGATCCACTAGGATGTAAAATACCCTTCTGATTAGTTAGTATGTAAATGTGAAAATCACTACATTTTACCTGCATCAGTTATTTTGAACAAGTGGGGCAAGTAATGCACACGTGCGTGTTATGTACAGTGGGGAGAACAAGTATTTGATACACTGCCGATTTTGCAGGTTTTCCTACTTACAAAGCATGTAGAGGTCTGTAATTTTTATCATAGGTACACTTCAACTG